CCGTCTCCCCACCAGCCAGGCCATACAGCCATTGCGGCCCGGGCAACGTTGCCCTTTTACTGGATCATGCAGAAAATTGCTGTAGGTCTTGTTCTGGTCGTCAGCCAGAAGTTTTTTTTTTTGATGTACCACGATGACCCGTAACCTCTCTGTTTTTTGTTCATCTAGCTGCCTCAGTACCTCCTTCTGCTCAGACTCTTTGTTTCATCTTTCGATCTAATTCCATTACCCCTCACCCTGGGATCGAGATCAATTCAACCCTCCCTCCATTCCTCTGGCCAGGAAAATGTCCAGGTATTCACCGGTATGCATCATTTGTGAATCCATTCCTTCTAGTTTGTGTCTGTTGTTTTCCCACGCAATATTTTGTTTTGTCGTTGTTTTGCCTTTAAGTCGAATTGCTTTCACATTTATTCAGAAGTTGATCCGTACGGTAGCAACATTGTTAGCAGCAACCCGCTTCCCCTCCCCACTTCCCATCCGCGGCAAAACTACTAATGGCTTCCTCTTCCTTAGGTTATTTAGATGCAGACTCATGGTGTTTGCGCCGCCTTGGTATGAAACAGTGCCAATTTATCGTCAAAACGAAACACAGAATCGTAGAAACTGGTTTTCCCTGTCCACGTAAGCCTGAATGTAGAAGTACTTGCTAACATAATAATTCCGATACTTTCTGTGGCTGTACTGCGTAAAATAATAAATGTTATGTAATTTACCAGACGTGTTCATGGCAAATTCCCGTAACTCATGTGAACAGTGAGAGAAACCATTTTAGGAACACATCGCCACCGATCTTAGAAACACATTTTCTACCTAGAATGCAAGATTTTTCGTCTTCTCCTCTTAACGCTTTCAGTTCCGGGTCTTATGCTTTTCCAGGGCTACAAAACAAAAAAATCAGGGGAGGTCGCTTTTTTGCATACGGCGCCGGTCTCCTGCACGATAGGCACGCACACTGCGAACCAACCCCCGCTCTTGCACATTCCGCCCCCAAATCTCCTGCCTCCACCCGCACTTTCAGCTCCCGCGTCACAATGTTCCTCATAAATGCAGCAGCACGCACCAGCTCCCTTCACCATCCTTCACTTCCTGTCAGGGCAACGTTGCCCCACTCTCCTGGCACGTTGTCAAGCACTTTCTCCTGGCGGTACGAAGTAGTGTTGCCAGGGATGGCAGACGCCTCATTGGGGTACAAAACGCACGGCCGAGCCGAGCCGAGGTGTAGTTTTTGCCGTTGCAGCGAGAACTATTTTACTGTAACAGCTAGTATGTGTTACTACTGGAGGTGCATTTTCATTCAAATAAAAGATGAGAAAGATAAAAGAGGGGGGAAGGGGGAGAGATTTCGAGTTTTTAGGAATGTATTGTGCAGAAGACACCCTGTGTGCCACTGCAGTTTAAGTGGAGACTGCAAAGTTCTGTTGTCTTGATATATCCTATTCACCTGTTGCATGCTGCATGCTGCATCCTGCTCGTATGCCGTGGCACTTGCAGAACAGGGAATGTTCGCACGCCGCCGCACAGGATATGTACTTAGACTGCCTGCAACTCAAAGTTTTTATTTTCTTCACTGCGATTGAAAAAGATGTACCTCTAGGTTTTACAATCGACAACAGTTTCAGGAAGAAAATTCATAGGAAATGTTTTTTATGGAAATGAGAAAAGAGGGTGTGCAAAGCGGGAGGGTGTCTTGGAATAGCATGGGGCTGTGATAACCTTACAGTAGCTTTCCAGAACTACGGCTGTTCTTGACCTTAAAAAATGTGCGGGAGTTAAACAACACTGGAAGAAGTCGTCAAAGCCCCTCCTAAAGCGGTTTTGAAACAGTGTTCCAGTTCTGCCTCTTGCTGGTAGATATGAAGCCATCTAGTATTCAAATACTGCGGCTGACTGAGGCCCGGTGATCGGATATTTCGGAAGTTTGTTCGAAACAGAGTTTTATCCTCACTGCTCCAACAAAGGATTTGATAATTTAAAACTATGGTAAAGCATACGCCATTCGGTGTTTAGTATGAACCTGCTTGAAAAAAAAAAAAAAGAAAAAACAAGAAAACGACTGATCTATGTAATTTTGAACTCCATAAGACTATTGTGGCCAACCAAGCCCATGTATGCTTCTGAACCCGACACCGCTATATATTCCTGCACGCTGTTCTGCGGTAGCTTCACTTAAAGGAACGAAGATTGTGCGCACTTCTGGTTCAGGAAGGAATAATAGACCTTAGAAGAATAAGAGTAAAAGCTGCCATAAAACTATTGAAATGAGGTGAAGCCGATTTCAGTGCTTGGCTTCTACAAAAAGCAAAACGAGCGTTAAACACCGTTGATTGAGGTACGTTTCACGTCACCATTTGACATTTTCGCGATTTGTAATTTCTCTTGTAGCTGCTCAGGGATTTTCAGCTTCTTCGATTTTTCCCAAGCAAAATGCTTCTTTCCAAAATGACCATTGCGTGCCGTTTCTTTGTATATTGGCTTCAGCAGATCCAGTTCTCTGAAAAATCACTTCATTAAATTTTTGAGCATGTAGCTCTTTTTTTGTCTACACTTTTCTGTGAGATTTACTGCTGCTCTGAATGCTATAAAAAATGTTGGAATTTTAAAAATCGCAACTATTAAGCTCAAGTATTTACTGAGATGCAAACACACGCACGTCCGACACGGCCAAGTGAGATCCTACGACCTTAGCTGCATGTTTCCACTTTGGACACGTTCGACCCTGGCACCTCCGAACGTTACCTGAACGAAGCTTTTTTCTCATTCAGATATCAAAAACCGACATGCACTGTCCACTTTTTGTCAGCAAAGAGGGCACCTTGCCTAACTTTCACGGTCACAGCAGTACTCAACATATCATTCGGCACAAAAGATCATATGCTTCAAAATACAAAATGACCTCTTTTCTTTACTGCTGCCAAAGCTCCATTTTTATGCGTTTTGTGCTGTGTAACAGCAGTACAAAACGCATATTGTCACGGGGTTGTCTGTGTGTATGCGTGTCCCACATTTTGTCCCGCACTTTCAACTCGGGAACCATAAAAGCCAGGCGGCTGAAATTTTGGTATAGTGTTCCCCGCCAGCGGGTGACGCGGTAAATTTAAATTCAGCCTTCCCGTATCCGCGGGTAACACGTACGGTCCTGTGAAAGTTTTTTACGGATAAATTAGTATCTCGGAAACCGCGGAGTCTAGGAGGCAGAAATTTCAGGAGAATGACCCACTGCCCACGCTCAACCTTACCCATCCAAATTCAGGCTTCCTGTACCCGCGGGTAACAAGTACGGCCCCGCGAAAGTTTTTTACGAGTAAATTACTATTTCAAGAACCACAGGGTCTAGGAAGCTGGAGTTTTAGGGTAATGACCCCCTACCCACGCTCGACCTTGCCTATTCAAAT